GCAGAGATTATTTGGATGGCAAGTATCGGAAAAAGAGAAAATGAAAGAAATAAGAAAATTCAGAAAAGATTCATTCAGAAGAAAAAAAATCAATTTTTTGTTGATCATTCTGGTGAACTTTTGTCACCCCTTTTTCATACATTAACTGTGAGTAAGCAGACTAGTTGAATTGTAATTCTCTTGATGCAAAATTGAACACCTTAAATAAACAAAAGATCCCAACGCCATGAGAATAAAGTTCAAGTATGTAACTCATTTATCCTTTTCAGTTAAAGAAGGAATGAAACCCGCACCACATTTTTATTCCCGTACAAATTATTCTCTTGAGAAAATAATTATGTATGCCACATCTCACTGCAGTCCATAAATAAATTGTGAAACTTGTTCTTTTAAATGAAAGCACAGAATTCTCCAGCAAATAAACTGTGGGGTCCAAATCACTCAGATTAAATAATCAGCACTGACAGCTAACTACTTCCTTCAGTCCTGAGGGACTGCCTATTGATTTTAAAAGGTGTGTAGGTACTAGGGAGTTACACAATCTTAAGTTTTCTTTTCAGGCCCATTAAGCATTCATTTTTAAATAATTTTGCTTGAATATTGCATTTGTTCACATTTTGTGGGACGCAAAATAGAAAAAAGAAAAACAAAAAACAAATGGCCAAGAAAGTTTCATTCAAAACATCAATAAGAACATGATTTATTTCTGTAACTTTTATGCAACTCCCTGGCTCATTCCCTGCCTCCATTGCTCTCTTTTTCTGGAAGTCACTCCATCTCCTCTGTGTCCCAAACAAGCTAAGCTTGAGAGGACAATCTTCAAGCAATCAAGTGGTCACTCAGGGAAACACTGATTAGAGTCTTAAGCTTATCTTCCTTTCGCTAACCTAAGCCCCTGAAAATTTAGGAAGAAGACTGGAAATGCTAGAGACATAGAATTACAGAACTGTGCTTCTTGAAATATTTAACTTGTTATGGTGGTGTCTTAAGGCATAAGACGCTTGCAAATTGCATAACACTCTTGCTATTGCACAGAAACAGTGCACAGGCTGTGTAAGAACTTTTAAACGCACCATCCTGTGCTTTTGGCTTTGCAAATCCAATTATCTGGAAGTAAGTTTCCAGAAATATTCTTGGAAACACACTCTAGTGATAAGCTTGGAAATAAATTGCAGGACATCTGTGTACAAAAAAATCCCAGTGCTCAAAATACAGGTGCCATGTGGCTATTTGTGATCCTAAGGAACTCATCCAAATTTCACAGTGAATATAATTGATGATAGTGCACTTCTGAATACACTTGAAGGGTCATTCTGTAATGTCTAAACATTATTAACAAAAAGTGTGACCAAAAAAAACCCAACAAACCAACAAAAAAACAGCTACGAGTATCACTAATGACATCATGGAAAATTTTGCTAGGGGTACCATTAAACCAGGGGAAGAGAGGCCAATGATGATGACAATGAGGTAGCTAGCTATACTGAGCTCAGCCATTCAAAGCAGCAGTGTAGACAAGCACAGCAAGCAGGAGAGATTAGAGTGGAGCCAAACATTAACTGGTGTTGAGATGTATAAAACACCCTCAGCAATGAACTTCTGTGACACCAAAATCCCAAGAGGCTTTTCAAGGTGACAAATGATACTGTGTAGGAAACGAGCAATTTTATCCATTTTGCTGGAAAAAAATATCTTTCAGGAATATAAAAAGTGAATCATAGAATCATTGAGGTTGGAAAAAACCTCCAGGATCATCAAGTGCAACTGTCAGCCTGACTGACCAAGTCCTATCACTACACCATATGTCTTGGTGTCATGCCCACACATTCCTTAAATGCCTCTGGGGATGGGGCTTCACCATTTCCCTGGGCAGTCCATTCCAATTCCTGACCACACTTTCCATGAATAAATTATTCCTAGTACCTATTCTAAACCTACCCTGGCACAACTGGAGACCATTTCCATGTTTCCTATCACTTGTCACCAGAGAAAGGAGTCTGATACTCCCTTCCTGTGACCTCCTTTCAGGTAGCTGTGGAGAGATTTTGAATTGAAGCATTGCATTGGGATTACAATCAACCTGTTTAATTTGCATTCAGTGATTTATTTTGATATATTGTTGCTGATAATTATGCTCTTTATTTAATTAATACTGAACAGAGGAGTAAATAGAACTTGGATTCCTCTAAGTGTTGGTTGGCTTTTGTTCTCAAGATGAGAAGCTTTGTCTGTAATTAGGGTGTTTCTAAGGTCTCATATGGTTTCACTGCTATCTAACAGAGGTTCAGCTCTTGCTGCAGTCTTTTTTTTAACAAGAGCATTTACAGCGTCTTTCTTTTTGCCTGTCTACTTTGATAAAACTGGTAGCAGCTTAATATCTCTGAGGCTTCCTCTGCTCTGTTAAATTGTTCAATGGCTACTGGAGTGTGGGCAAACACTTGCATACGTGTATGTATATACATGGGACATAATTCCGTATCTTTTGTTTCCTTAGCAACTCATCCAGGCAAAAACAAACAGTTTTTCCAATGCTTTTCTGGGAATGTTTTCTTCCCAGAAAAGGCCTACCTTCACACTTTTTATCTTATCAACATTCGTTTTTTCAGATTTCACACTGAAATGCTTTTTTATTTTACAAGTGGCTAGTCATTCTCCGGGAAGGTTTCCAAACAAATATCAGCAAAAGCAGAAGAGAATGGAGCACAGACTTCTGAACCCAGCCCTGGCACAGAACAGTGCTACTGCTTAGTGTGAACATCATCTGCAAACTCAGCTCCACTCCTGTAGGTACAGTGGAGCCCTACACAGCTAGAAACTGCATGCTTGGGCAGGGAAACACAGGGAGTCAGAGGGCTCTCAGGTTGTCAGAGTGAGTTGCTGAGCAGCACCAATGGTCCAAGAAGGAATTGCTTGGGCTCAGTAGAGCAGCCTGGGGTATGTTTAAGCAGAATCACAGCTCTTTTAACTTATGGGTGCCAGAGGGATGTGACTCTTGCGCTACCCAATATCAAACACAAGATTTCACTGATGTCAGCAGCTCTCACAAGAGTGGAGTCACTGTGAAATGAGGGAGCACATAAGACCCCATGGATGTGAGGATAGGCATTACAAGGAAACAGTGAAACGTGCTGAGGTTGGAAGACATTTGATTACCTATTGTAGGAATTAGGAGAGCACAGTTCTCTGTTACACAGTACAGGTCCACTGTGTTCCATGGAGTGGATTTGGACTTGTTCATGAAGAAATCAGGGGGAAAAACATTTAAAACATGTCCACTTACTGAGATTTAGGACATGGGAATCATACAGATTTGCTGCTTGTCTCTAAGAAAGAAACATCCAAATGGGAGGATCTGTATCTTGCCATACTGTACATGATACTTGAAAAACAATTTTCATAACACTCCTATAAAAGAATCAACGGTGCCACCTGACACCACTGAGAGCACAGTATTTATTTCCTTATAGCTTTTTCAGTTAACAAATGCAACTTGTTTTCCAGTACATGTTATTGCTTGCAGTGTTTACATTATGTCAAAAAATGACAGAGAAGCAGAATCAAAACTGTATTAATCCCATGCAGTTTATACTTTAAACACACATTATTGCTTGAATGGTTTGAGCAATATAACCCTTGAAAGAGTGCAAGCAGGTAACATCACGCTCTGGGCTGCACAAGCTGTGGGTGTAGGCACAGGGCTGCTTATGTCCTTCTTGCAGGAAAGTGGCTCAGGTGTTTTTGACACTCAGTACTTCTGCTGGACAGCACCAGATTACTGCACTATATGGTAAGGTGCTGGTTTTCACTGATGTTTTGCTGGCAAGGTTTTTTTTTTCTTCCCTGTGGTCAAAAGCTCATAGCAAATTAGGGAAAGCACCTCATTATGGCAACCATCTCAGGTAATCAATAGCTCCATAGCCTAGTTGGTAGGTGTACAGAGCAAGCTTCTTGTTCTCTCTTAGCAGTACATCTGGAAGCTGTTACTCATTGTACAAGTAATTAAAGAGTAATTGGGCCAGAAGCACCAAAGCCCTAACCTTCTGGGTGAGATTAGGACATGCCATGCACCACAGCGACCACTTCTGTATGTTTAGGGACACTCAAGGACACCCACACTCTCAGACAGGCACCTGGAGGCTAAGTCAACTCACACGTGATTTCACAGTACTTCCACCCACATCCCTGCTTCCAGCATAGTCTCAGGACCAGCTCCAAATGGCCTGCCAAGTCTGAACACCCAAAGACAACAGCACTTGGAGAGCAGGGTTTGTCTGCAGAATAGAAGCCTGCTGAAAACTCTCTCAGCTTGGTCAGATCCAGGCAATTTGCACCAATGACCTCTTCCAGTAAATTCAGTGGTGGGTAAGAGCAAGGCTAAGCAGGAAAGAGTCCTATCTGCCATGAAACAGTACTGCATTTTGTGTCATAGAATCATAGAACAGCCTTGGTTGAAAAGGACCACAATGATCATCTAGTTTCAACTCCCCTGCTCTGTGCAGGGTTGCCGACCACCAGACCAGGCTGCCCAGAGCCACATCCAGCCTGGCCTTGAATGCCTCCAGGGATGGGGCATCCACAGCCTCCTTGGGCAACCTGTTCCAGTGTGTCACCATCCTCTGTGTAAAAAACTTCTTCTTAATGCTGTCTTGTGCCAGAAGAGGAATTGACCAATGCACAGGTCAAGCCTGAAAGCCTCTGTGGAAAGCCCTGAGTACCACTGCATGCAACCATGCTGCTGTCAGAGCCACCTTGGTCAGCTTTGGCACCCTTACACCTTAACCCCTTACATCAAAGTGGCAAGGTGTAACGTTTGTTGTTTCAGCCCAGGATGTGTTGCTAGCTATGGAAACATCTCCAGCAGAGAACATCCATGGGCTTGAAATCCCATTGATATTTTTGATGTGTTACTCCATGGGTCAGCAAATGAAGCCCCCTCTCTGATATTCCTGTGCACTTTGATTCCCGAAAATGTGATTTGTGAGAAAACTTCCTTGATCAGAATGCAGGTAACGGTGCTTCCCTATCATACTCTGTAACTGCAGCACTCAGCAATTGTTCCTTTGGTAAGTGTACTGGGAAATCCACTTCAGCACCTTATCTTGCAGATTGCACAACCCACGGAAATATAGGTAAAAAAGCACATGTATAAAAAAAAGCATTTCCATTGTCTTCACTTGAGGAGAGGGAATGCTAACGGCACAGTAGAAAACACCACCAACGTGGGCTGCGGGGGGAGCTGCTTTCCACCAAGCGGAGGGGTTCCCGGGGTCGAAGCAGGGAAGCGGGCACCCTCCCGCTGGGAGCGCTCCCCCACGCCGCCCGACCCCGTGCCGCGGCAGCAGCCCGCCGTCACCCTGCGCGCTGCCCGGGTCGCCGCCCCTTCGCGCTCGGCGGGGCCGCGGGGAGGAGCGGGCGCCGGGGCTCTATAAGGCCGTCTCGTCGGCCCGGCACCGCGCTCACAGCCACGCACAAGGGCGAGAGCTGGGCCTCGCACCGCCCCGCGCTGCAGCCTTGATTGGCGGGGTCCCGTCGCCTTCCTCCTGCAGCTGCACATCTGACTTTCGGTCAGGCTGCAATTGTTCCGTTGGCATGAGGAGCTTCAGCGTTTGGGACTATGTGGTCTTCGCTGCCATGCTGCTGGTGTCAGCTGTCATCGGCATCTACTATGCCTTTGCAGGAGGGGGACAGAAGACCTCCAAGGACTTTCTCATAGGGGGCAGAAGCATGCATGCCTTCCCAGTGGCTCTCTCACTCACCGCCAGCTTCATGTCAGCTGTCACTGTGCTGGGCACCCCCGCTGAGGTCTACCGCTATGGTTCCATCTTCTGCCTCTTCGCCATCACCTACGCCCTGGTAGCGCTGTGCACTGCTGAGATCTTCCTGCCTGTCTTCTACAGGCTGGGCATCACCAGCTCTTACGAGGTAAGGTTGAGCAGAAGGAGCCTTTCCACAGCCTTCAGGGAGCCGGGCGGCTTCTCTTGACTGCTTTCTATTTGTCTTTCCTCACTCTGTTTCCCCAAGTCCCCCTGTAGTGCTGCCCTGCAGCTTGTGTTCCCACATTGCTGAGGACAGGCGGGCTGTTGACCTGCTCTGTCCCCAGCTCTGCCCACACTGCAGAGTGGAGGCGCTCACCCCTGCTGCTGGGACTTGTGCACCATGCCAGATGTCTCCTCACTTCAGGTGCTCGATTGAGCAAGTGATTTAATCCCTGTGCAGCTTTGATGATGTTGTGTGATTAACAAAGTGTAATTAACCAAGGCCATCCAGCATCTAAAGTGCAAGTGCATGTAACATAGAAGGAGAGCTCTCAAATCATTCTCATTCCAGGCTGGTTTCTAAGCTCAGGCACACCACAAAAGTTCCTTTCTGACAGAGTATATGTTTGTGCTGTTCCTAGAGGTTTTGCAAAGACAGCCTCTCCAGCAATGAGTCTTTTCCATTGCTTGTACAGGGAGGTCAGCAGGTACTTTGTGTCTGCACAGGTTTTTTTGCTTTCAGCAACATACTGTAGGGAACTTTCTTTAGCAAGGGGGTTGGACTAGATTATCACCGGACATCTCTTCTAACCCCCACCTACAGTTCTGTGATTCTATGAAAATATGGCTCGTTTTCAGCCCTGCATGTGTGTTAAAGCTAAACCTAGGAGTGCAAAGAAATCTGGGGTTGTGGGATGCATCAAGTCTCACTGGTTTGGAGCGATGAACCCTGGTCAAGGCCTTCTTCTTTCCCAGAAGGTCCTTGCAACGTGTTGGTTTGCTTGGAAGATAGTTCCTAGCTGCAGATTTGGAGGCAAGTTGCTCTTGTTTTAGGATATTGGAAAAGGGGCATCAGTGTAGGTGAAAGTCCTCGGATAGCTACTTTGGTCTTTTGCATTTTATTACACTGAGCAGGAGCAGCACTGGACATTGAAAACAGCAAGGTTTTAGTTGGTGGAGTTAGATAAGAATTCCCTAACAGAAACAGTGCATTTTAAACTACTAATCTTTGGACTATCAGTTATGGTGATATTTAAAATATGTCTGCTCTTGTTAAAGGCTGTTGATTAAGGCCAGAAACTCTCTGATAATATCAGGGTTTAGTCAGGGTAACACACCTATAAAAGATATACCTTCTATTTGTGGCCAGAGTTCAGAGATCAGACTTCTTGTGCCTGTCCAGAGGTTCAGCACGGCTGCCTGGAGTGAATGTGCTCACTGACCGTATTTTCAGTGCTGGCCACACAAGTGAGCGCTGTGGGATTTCTCAGTGTTTACCTGTGTCATATGGGCGGACTGACAGGTGAAGGGGATCCCTTTTGTGCAACCATGTGCCTCAGAGGACAGACAGTGAGAAAAAATCTGCCCTACAGGAGATTTACAGAGATTGCACCCTAGGCAGAGAGGTGAGGTTCCTCTTTTGAGAAAGGCTGCATTTCTACTTGCTGGTAGAAGATGGGGAGTTTGCAAACTAAGGCTCAGGCATTGCTGAAATGTTTTTCTCTCTGATTCCATGACATAAACAAGTTCTGTTGTACTAGGGAACATCCCTGTGAACAACGCTGAGTTCATAATAGGTGCGGAGCTTTGCCAAGTGTGCAGCTCCCTGCCCCATGAGTGCCCAGAGGCAGCAGTGTAGCACCAGCTTAGAGAATCAGAATCATTTTAGTTGGAAGGGCCTCTTAAAGGTCATCTAGTCCAACTCCCCTGCAATGAACAGGGACACTACAGCTAGATCAGGGTGCTCAGATTCTCCCCAGCCTGACCTTGAGTCTCTCCAGGAATGGGGCATCCACTACTTCTCTGGGTGACCTCTGCCCACCCTTTGACTGTAAACACAGCTTCCTTATATCCATTCTAAATCTCCACTCCTTTAGTTTGAAACCATTTCCTCTTGTCCTATCACAGCAGGCCCTGCTAAAGAGTCTGTCCTCTTCTTTCATCTAACTCCTCTTTGGATATTGAAAGGCAGCTATCATGTCTCCCCAGCTTCTTTTTACTGATTCATTCCTGTACTGGTTAGCCAATGTCAGCTTCACCTGCTCTTGTGTCATTACACAGTGCTGAGGTCTGTGAAGAAATATCAAATAAAGTTGAAAGAGATTTCCATTAGGTTTTGACTATTAACAAAACACCAAAAAAACACTGTGCCCTTTCTCTATTGCTCATCTCTTCACTTTAGTCCTTTCACTGAAACCAAGTTTTGATGTAAACTTTTGTTTTTTCTTCTCTTCTGCAGTATTTAGAGCTTCGATTTAATAAATACCTGCGTCTCTGTGGAACATTCCTCTTCATTATACAAACGGCAAGTAAACTTCAAAGTGGTTCCTGGGTCCGCATAGCCACCAGGGCTGGTCAGCTGGACACAGCTGCCTGTTTGCCATGAGCAGCTGATGGAGTGAGCACAGGGAAGGGCCCCTGGGAGCAAGAAAAAGAAATCTGCACCAAAGCAATCAGATGGAGAGCAAATGCTAGGCCACCCTCCCTTTAGAACATCCCCAGCATTGCTGAGCATCTGGGGTGGTTGTTTGGCATCAGTGCCATGCCATGGGACCCTTCATGGCACAGGGAAACAGTGCACAGAGCAGTCATTGGCCTGCCCTCAGAGAAGCCCACAGAAAGTTCAAAATGTAAATATGCCCCAGTTATCTGCAGCGGCAGATCTCATCCCATGGGCTACTGATTTTGTGAGTCTGGCTAATTCCCAAAGATTTGTGGAAGGTGACAGGGAAAACAAGCTGTCAGAAGCCTGTCACTAGAAGTACAAGGGTTTGTATCACTGCTGGGAGATTGCAAACAAAAGCTACAGATCACTCACTGCCTTAGGGGAAGTCAAACTAAAGCAGTCCCTGCATTACTGTGGATATCCAGCCCATTTGGTGAGTCAGGGTGGGATTGCAGCTTTCCAAGGTACAGTGATTGTGTGCCAGATGCTGTGAAACACCAGCAGTAAAAGTGTTCTGTTTGCACTTATGAAGTGGACGTTTTGGGGAGTTTAAAGCAAGAATGAATATACAATTTGAAGGCTTTCCAAGTTATGTTTCTGTGTATGCTTGCTTCTTGTCCTTTTTGTTACTGTTAAGACCCTCTGGAAGTTACAGAACAACCACAGCTGTACCACTGCAGTGCTAATTCCTTAAGTGAACAGTGCTGCTAAGCTGGATGTTTTGGATACACATAGGAAAAGCAAAGTGCTAGCATGCATGAATCTTTAGCAAACATGAAGGCATCACAGTTGCATAAGTTGGAACAAACCAAATGTAATCTTGCACAGATCAGAAAAATAATTTTATATAATGTAAGTATACATACAGGAAATTAACTGACAACCTGTGGGTGACTTTCTGTGGTTCAAAGCTTCTGGCACTTGTTCGCTGCTTACAAGAAAATTGCTGTCTCTCATTGACTTCCTGAGTGAAGAGGATCCTACAGCCCATGTAGATGGCAGATGGTCACTGGATGGACAGGTGCCAAATGCTTTGGGCTTGATGACTGTTGGCAGTTGTTGGCCATGAAGTGGTGCGGCTGGTGCTGAGGAGAGATTAGAATCATAGAATCACCAAGGTTGGAAAAGACCTAAAAGATCATCCAGTCCAACCGTTCACCTATTACCAATAGCTCCCACTAAACCATGTCCCTCAACACAACATCCAGCCTTTCCTTGAACACCCCCAGGCTCGGTGACTCCACCACCTCCCTGGGCAGTCCATTCCAGTGCCTGACCACCCTTTCCGAAAAGTAAAACTTCCTAAATTTGCTAGGGACAGGCAAGGGCTGGCAGCTTTCAGGGTGTACAAGCTATGTGTGAGAACCTAGAGAGGGCTCAGAGTGCAGAAAGAAACAAGCACACACACATGAACAGGTAAAAACAACTATTTCCCTGCTGGTCCCACCACCAGATATGGAAAGCTGATGTAAGTCAGGACCTATCTGAGATTTAGATCCCTTGAATCAAGTTCTGACCTTCACAGAAGTTCATCTATGCAATGCAGGCTTTGCCCTGATGCATGCTACAGCTGAGCTTGCCCTAATAGTACCAGCAGTAATAGCAGTGGTAAAAAGGTATTTAAAAATATACTTGAATCAAATATAGAGAATATCAGTGTATGAATCCCACTGTGCTGTTAGAAGTGGATACAGCAGCTCATTGATTTGTCTGATTATTTCTGTATTGGATGAAAATACATATCTGCTGATGATCATGCATGGCTTCATCTTATAGAACTGTAAACCCTTATAATCCTATCCATAATGCCTAACTAATGCTGTGTTTCTTGTTTTGATGTGCATTACAGATGCATACTGAGAGGTATATTGATCCCAAGACTGAGAAAGTAAATTGTAATAGATTCCTTGGCAAACCATGTGTAAACCTTACCAATTTCCTTTTGCTCTTGTTTCTTTCATTTGGCTGCACTTATAAAGCAATAAAACAAGTTAAATATAAGAGAGAGGAGAAACAAAAGAAGGATGGGGTGTTTAAGAATCATTGTGTTGTTTTAAGCAGACTAGGCTGTGAGACTGTAGTACTGGTTAGTCTCAGACATTTGTCCTCCAGCAATTTGAATTATTTCTTAACAGTCATGCATTTAGGAAATTTAGACTGAAGAAGTGCTTGAAGAGAAAACATCTCAGAAAACTATCACTTGTTCCAGGAATTTTGGCTTATTTTGTTCTCATATCTTTTTCTCCCCATCTAGACATTATACACTGGCATTGTTGTTTATGCTCCAGCTTTAGCACTAAATCAAGGTAAGATGACCATCCTGAACTGTTCTTCTGTATTTTTTTATGCACATACTACTGGTGTGCTTTTCTTTCTGTAATGCACACCAATGTATATATTTCAAATATTGATTGTGAGGACTTCAGCTAGTCCTGATGAGAACTCTGATAGACCTCCCAGATCTAATCCTGCTCCCTTATCTCTGGCTGTAAGGAATTACAGAAAGGGCTAAACAAAGAAAATCTGCTCTCACTTATTCTGGCTCTCTCAGAATATCCTCACGTCAAGGCTAATTTCAGAAAAGTTAAGGAAAAATAAGTCAAGCTTGAAAGCAGTGGGCAGGATAAACACACACTGAGTCCATCTGGTTAAGTGCACTTCTTGAAGCACTCTGTAACTTGCTCTAACAAGCTACAGCCTGGTTGGAAGGGGTGCACTCCATGAACTGTGCTGCAGAGCTTCTCATTTGCCTGGGCTTCTGTTGGGGAGCCCTATGGTGCCACGCTGGGCAGTGTGTCAACCTGCCAAGCTTGGGCACTGGCATTTTTAGAAGCTGTCTGGTGTAGGTATGCTGTCACATTTCCCTAAAAGAACACAGAATAAGAGGCTTTTAGACCAACGTATATCTTCCAAACCATTGCTTAAAGCAGCTTGTGTCTGTGAAGCATGCCCATGGCTGCTTTCCTGTGTAAATCCCTGGCACAGGGCTCCAGAGCCTACCTAAATGCTTCTGAGGAAGGACTCTGATTTTAGAACCTTTCTGAGCTGAGCCCTGCAAGAATATTGGTTTTGTTGGTTGTCATTAAAGACCAAAAGCATCTTAGGTTCCCAAATCTATGTAATTATTTAGAAGTTTCCAATTGTTTAGCAGTTGCCAATATCTGTAACAACTATGCATTTCTAGAGCTGGTCAAGGTGAATTCAATAGTTCAGATACACACGTCTTTTCTTTGCAGTTTTTTATTACTTTCTACTTCTGCATTTTACTTATTTTCATTTTTCCCCAGCAGCCAGACAAAGGTGAAAAAAACAGTCCTACAGAGTTATGTCCCCCATGCCTTGCTTATACTTGCTGCCCTTTCCCTCTTTTTCAGTCACGGGCTTCGACTTGTGGGGTGCCGTGGTGGCAACTGGTGTGATCTGCACTTTCTACTGCACATTGGTATGTGGGCCATTCAGCTGAGGGAAATCTTGGTTCCTTTTGCCATTCACATCAAGTGTGGAATTTATTGAAAAGTCAGCTAATAAATGGGTTGCCCAGTTTCACAGCACAGCTGCAGCCCAGAGCTGTATTCATCCAGGGACTTTGGATATAAGGAAAAAGTCTTTTACAGTGAGGGTGATGAGGCAATGGAACAGGTAGCCCAGAGAGGTGGTGGCCTTGTCCTTGGAGACATTGAAGGCCAGGCTGGTGGGGTGCTGAGTACCCTAATCTATAGGTGGATGTTGCTGTTCATTGCAGGAGTGTTGGATTAGATGACCTTTAAAGGTCCCTACCAACTCTATGGGTTTTGTGATTCAATGACTTAGACACAAAGGCAGCCACAGTGTGACTTCTGTTCCTAAAAGAACAGCAAAAAGATGGATCTTCCTTCCTGAAAATTCTCCTATGAAATTTCTGCTAGCCTGGCAGACTAATTTGTCAAGCACCTGTTCATCACAACCATAATAGTCCAGTCTCTTAGTGATGGGGACACTGAGAATAGTACGTGTCACATGAAAATATTGTTCTTCAGGTCAGCGCTAATTGACCAAGTGCCTGGATATGTGCAAATGGAATCAGCACAACATAAAATTATTTGTGTATTTTTGATTAAATAATGTTTATTTTAATTTGCACAAATTGCACGCCTTCTGGAGTTAGTGATGCTGAAAACATGTAAGATGAGCATGGTCTGCTGTTTACCTTTTGATATGGGTAACTAGTGATAGGACAAGAGGTAATGGCTTTAAGTTGTACCAGCGGAGGTTCGGGTTGGATATTAGGAAAAATTTCTTTTCAGAGAGTGATGAGGCACTAGAACAGGCTGTTCAGGGAGGCTATGGAGTCACCATCCCTGGAGTTATTCAGTGTGGATGTGGCACTGAGGACATGGTTAGTGGGCATGGTGGAGATGGGATGATGATTGTAACCATGATCTTAGTGGTCTTTTCCAACCATCGTGATTCTGTGATTCTGATTCTATGAAACTTCTGAATCAAGGGGATGTGATGAATGATGAATGATATTGGATATGTCTGTGGTCACAGTACATCGTAGTGCTCCTCACAGAAGGTCCTGAACATGTTGCAAGATACAATTCCTAAACATCCCAATGCAGAATTGTTTCTATCCAGGAATAAGATAGAATTAGTTGGTTAGAATTATGCATAATCCATGTAGTAAGGTTTCTCCTAGCTGGATGTGAACATTTGCCAGGAGCACAGCTGCTCCGCTGTACCTGATACATGCTGTTCCTCACACAGGGCGGTCTGAAAGCAGTGGTGTGGACAGATGTTTTCCAGATTGGAATCATGGTCGCTGGATTGGCATCTGTGGTTATACGAGCTGTGGTAGTCCAGGAGGGAATTGGACGCATTATAAATGATTCCTACTATGGAGGAAGATTAAACTTCTGGGAGTGAGTTTTTAGTTGAAGATGATGTGCCTTTTTCCTGATAAGTGTGAAATTAAATTGCTACTGAAGGTGGGGAGTTGGGGACCGAAATTTTACAGATATTTAAACAAGCTTACCTGTTTTGGAGGATCTTTTGGAGGATTAACTCTGTTCAACATTCTGCCAAGAGAAAAATCTTTCACATTCTCAAATTCATGTTTTAAGGATGCATTTTGGATTCCATTGAAAGTGAAAGGTGAAGAGTAGAGGACAATCGCATTTATAATTACAGTTTGCTAAGGAATGATTTGATATTTCAGCTACTGAACCAAAGTAGCTGAAAAAATTACGGCTGTTACCTAATCTGAAAAGGGGGAATGTTTTTCTTTCCCTAAAATGAAAATTAGAAATAATCTTAATGGCATTTTACCCTTTGTTACTGTAACTAATCATAGATCAAGATTTTAGTTTTGCAAGGTTAGGAATATTCATTTCTGAGAATGCTAAATCAAAAGATTCCTTCAGTTTAAAAAAAAAAAAAAAAGAAGAAGTTATTGTTTTTTTTGATGAATAGGTGATTCTGCAGAGAAACTTCAGCTGCTGCTATAAATAATAGAAGTTTAGTGTGACAGGTATTACCTGTTGTTTTTTTGTCTGTTGATTCACAATATTTATCAGATAATTCTATGAAATTCTTACCAAATTATTCAGTAAATAATAATTCATTGGAAGAAACATACTTTCTTCTCATGAGCAGTGATTTTTTAATCTGTTTGGTTTATATGCAGAAGTTACAGCATTTCTTCTTCTCTCATCATAGAATTCAGATTGAAAAAGAAAAGGAATAAAGGCATATAATAGCTGAATGAATGTAATGTTTTCGGCAAGATAAGTGTAATCTATTGCTCTATTTAACATCATATAAAAATATATTCCATTTAAAATCTGCTCTTCACTTAGAGCTAAATCAGCAACATTTTTTATAGAGGCTCTGTCTACAAGGGCTGGGTATGCAAACACACCTTTGTATTGGTGTTAGATTCAGGTCTCTCCAGATAAGCAGGCATATTAGACTTTCTACTGGAACTTCATTTCATCACAACAGCAACAGGCATCACAGTGCTTTACTTACGACTGTAATTTATACGCAAATAAGTTAGTTTGAATTCACCTTTGAGCAGATCAGTGTTACAGTGAGTCAGTGATTTCAGTGATTTCTAATCTGCTTCCTGTGATTTCATGTAAAGTTGAAATATCTGAATATTCAAAATCTGGATAAATTAATTGAATTTATATGAGAATAAGTAAGAGAAAATTCTTCTCCTAGCCATTAAGGCCATCTGATAATGAAAAGAGTTTCATATTCTGAGTGTTTTCTTTGTTTGTTTTTCCCTCTCATTGTAGCTTTAATCCCAACCCATTGCAAAGGCATACCTTCTGGACGATTATTATAGGTGGGACCTTCACATGGACTAGCATTTATGGTGTCAGCCAGTCCCAAGTACAGAGATACAGTGCATGCAAAACCAGGTTCCATGCAAAAATGTAAGTTTCCCTTCAGTAACTCTTGATGTCTGAATTTATCAGTGACTGTTCTTTATAATGCAGATTAATTTTTTTTGTTGTTGTTGTCTGTATAAAACCTATTTGTAAAAGGTAACAACTTCTGCTGTCTGCTTTGTGGACCAGATAGGAGACAAATTGGCATAGTAAATGCTGACATTTTAATTACGATAGATGACGGTGACATTCAACTTTCTGATGGACCATTTCACACTGCCAGTATTCTTGCATACAAATAACTACATTAAGTTTATATGCAACCTAAAGACCAAGCAATATAGCACTGAATTGTGCTTTAGCTTTATGCTTTTTTGCTACTTTTCTAAACCTAAACCAGAGCGGGGGAATTTTACCTAAGTAAAGACTAAAAAAAAATTTTCAGTACCTGTGAGTGTAAACCCGAGAAAAGACAAAAATGTTTTTTTATTCAGTGATAGAATTGCTGAAGAATCATATATTTTGGTTTCATGATCATCAAGACTTTTCCTATGGGAATTCATTATGGAGACTGGCAGTGAGTTCTGTTTTCCTTGAGTTTAAATATTTCTGATCAGCCTTTACTCTAGAACAGAGTATATTTACTAACTCTGTTATCTTATTGTTATCTTTAGTGTCATTCCTATAGTTCACAACTCAATATTTAAGAACTATTACCAAGCAAATGAAGTCTATTTATAGGAAAGATATATAAATGCATATCATTAACTATAGTCACTAAATTCCATAACACAGTGGTATGCAGTAGAGGAGGAGTTTACGAGGATTTACACTTCATAAAGTCAGCAAAACGCTCACAAAAATCATATTAAAGTTTGGACCTGAAGTATTTCAGTTTTGACAATAATGGAAATGCACTTTTCAGCCATTTACACTGCAAACAGGAATGAGCTGATGCCCCTCATCAGCCATATCTCAGCATACAGTGCCGCATTCCAACACTGTCTGGCTTCCCTGCAGTCTCCGGTGTGTAGCTCCCAAATTCTTGGTGCTGCAAAGGCAAGAGGTGCATCCCACACCTGCAGTGCAGCTGGCATGATTGCCATTGTGCCTGAGTTCCTTCTCAAGCACGAGCTCCACTTAAGGCTATTCCATTGCCCCATCTGTACCCTCTGTGATGGGAGATACCTCCATGGTGTCCCAGAAGCATGATATGATCAAGGAAAATGTAGTACCGTGGCAGCTGCTGGGTAGATTTTCTGGGCTCTTGCAAGTGTCTTCGGCTTGGATTAGAGGTGTCTGGTTCTGGAGGGTTTTGGATGGAATTCAAGAGTTATGAATAAAAATTCAGGTGTATTTGGTAGGACCTGATGACCTTGAAAGTCTTTTTCAGCCTAAATGATTCTATGATTCTCTAGCTCATGCCATACTAATGACAGCAGAGCCTCAATTGATGGATCTCTCTCCTGCTGGGATGCAGTTGAATTCCATGACACCTTGTTTGCGCCTCTTGGTATTTCCCTTTCATGGAGAAAGCTTTTTGTGCAATGGCTACAGTTTGTTACAATTGTAAACAGTATCATTCTTTGATGACTGTCTAGGTCACTCACATATGTAATTAAACACATTTGGCAAGTCATATTGGCAGCTACATCTCTTGCCACCATTTAACTAGTATAGAGAAGTGTCAGGTGTCATTGGGTCACAGTAATAAGGCTTTTCTCCTCCATGGCATTTTATATAAGGCTTTATTTAATAACAAAACAGAACTAAGAAAATAATTCTCTACACAGTTCCCAACTTGTGGGTCATAGGAAGGCCTTAAAGAATGGCACAAGAGTAGGAGTTTTCTCAGGCTATTGGAAGGGAGTTCATCCCACTCAAGAAACACATTAGTAAGTATGAACATGTGCTGTCATCCTCAAGCAGTAACTAGGCAAGTCAAACATAGTGCTTGAAGATGAGCGATACTAGGTCCTCAAGAAGGAGATCTGCACCTTCAGAAGAGTATGGACTCCTAGCACATTCTCCTCTACTTTCCTTTCAAGATCATTGGCTGGCATATTTCCTAGAGCCAGACTGAAACAACCAAGTAAAAACAGGCCTTGCATAGACACAGTGCCTACTTCACCCAAACTGCACCTTATGTTACGCATCCCGAATTAATGCTAGCATGTCCTCCAATAGTGCTGCAATTGTTACACCCCAGTGCTTAAGTCACAGGGTATACCATGAGCTAGGGGTGTAAATAAGATAGACAAAGCAGTTTCCCTCTCTTCACTGTCAAACACTGACACAGTTTAAAACTAGGAATTACTGAATGCAAACAATTTCTTTTGCCTTTGTGCCTTTCTCTCAACTTTCTAATCTCAGCTACAGGCTTTAGGCTAATACTGCTATTGCAACTATTGAAAAGATTTGGATTGATTTAAGTCATTGGTTATTTTTTATGCTATGTCAGCTTCTAAGCGCCTTATTTCAAGGTAGATTATACCAATGTAGGAACAACTTCAGCTAAATTTATGCAAAACGCTTAAGTAGTGTGTAAGCATCTATAAGAGAGAGATTACTTCAGTTTCACTAGCTTAGCCTAGAAATAAATTTAAAATGCTGCTAGTGCTGTATTTACACCAATGCCAATTTCAAATATGAAACGTAAATGTAGAGGTTTTTGTCCTGTGTTATCCAACCAGCCTTTATTTACCTAAGTCTTTTTTACACTGTTACACAGTTTACACTGTGCTTGCCAATCATTTTTCTGTGATATAAAATGGCAATCTCATCTAGTCAACCTATTAAAAAAACTATATAAAAACACACACTTCAATGCCTAACAAGACTATAAAGATAAGTTTACTTCATTCATCCTGATAATCCTCTGGAACAATCCAAAGGCTGATGCTCTTTGCCTTCTTGGGTCTTGAAGGCACTAAAAGGCCCTCTGAAACAGTGCAGGCATAGAAATGTTTGCATAGACACCAGAGATCCTCCAGGGATCCACACAGAAGAAGTCTTAGTTGGCAAAGGTGCAATGTATGTGATCTGTCAGCAGTTAAATCCCCCTATGTACATGGTACACAGCCAGGAAACAACTGCTGGAAAGGAATGCTGTTTTTCGAGGCCATGCTCCCTCTGGGTGTGTTCACTTGAAACAACCACCATAGTGAGCCATGGTGTGAAGAACTTTGTGATTCAGGAGTCATCAAGAGCTGAGATCAGATTGTTAGAAAGAAAAAGCCTTCCTGGGGCAGGAAACGTGGGGAGAAGGATTTTTTTTTTCATGATGGGTAGAGGCTGTCTGTTGTGTGTGACAAAGGCAGCATTAATATGTGATGACCACCATTTTCTTCTCTGCATCAGCTGTGCCCTCAGAATGTGGGGACAAGACAGGGTTCCTTGACTGCTCCAGGATCCAGGCTGCTAAAGGGGAAGCTTTGGGGTTGGTGGTGATCTCCTGATCCCTGGAAATGGCAGCTGGAAGTGGCTCCAAAGCAAATCACAGTGGGAGGGAGCACCTGCCTCATTGCTGCCTTCCACAGAAACCTTGCCAGGATGGTGAATTTATTGATTTATGAGCATGATTCCAGCATTGTGTAAGTGTGGTAGTGCAGCTCCAGAGGCAAAGGAGTGCTGCTGCTGATTGAAGGTACACCACACTTTGATCTGTGTCACCTTGCCTTGCAAATCTGTCTGGGGTTTGTCTCTACCAAGGGGTGTGGTGAGGGGATAAGAATGTTTTCTTGCTAGCTCGCTGTAATGTAAATTTGTGCACATGAAATGTGCAGATCGCCGTATTTCTCCTATCATCTCTGGAGTAGGCCTTGTCAGGGGGCATGCACTCAGAACCGTGCTATGAAGAACAAAGTGTAATTTGTGGTTTTAGAAATGTGAGCCTGGGTCAAAATTGCTCAGAGCTATACTGTGACTCCCTTTCATTTTGGCAGCCACTGAACAGAGTGTCTCCTCAGTGTGGGGATGATGCTTGTTTGGTCTGCTTGAGAGGCGCTGACTGTCCACTGCATTAATTGCAGTATGGTGGGATATCTAGCTCTAACATGTCATCTCTGTGCATGCTGGTGCAGGTCCCTCTACATCAACCTGATAGGCCTCTGGGTGATCTTGGTCTGCGCAGCGCTCTGCGGGTTGTCCCTGTACTCCTTCTACAAGGATTGTGACCCATTGACGGCAGGGCAGGTGTCAGCACTCGACCAGGTACAGCCCCACATCTCAATGGGGAGGAAGGGGCAACTTTCCCGTTGAGGATGGTGATGAAGGAGCAGGCACTAAGCAAGCTCAATTGGAGACGGTGATGAAAAAGCAGCTATTGAGCATGTGCAACTATGTAGAGGGGGGTTCAAGAACTAGGGGATGCTCAAGTCCACACAGAGTGAGTTTGTAACTCAGGGATTAAGCTCAGACTGTGGCAGGAGAGAAAACTTTGGAGAAAGCAGCAGATCTGCTTTCAGGACCCATCAGTGCCAGCATCCCCTTGGGTCTGACAGAGCTGCAGTTTGTTTGTGGTTCAGATAATTGTGTGCTATGGATAGATCCCCATGGACAATAGCTGGGAGTCCAGAAGAGCAGGGATAATGGAGTACTGGAGGCAGGACTGCTTGGCCTTAAACAAGAAAATAAGATGAGATATAAAAAGCCAGGGTGGATACCTGAAGGCTGTCAGGTGCCTCCTGTGAGTCAAATAATTTTGGTGGAACCTGTAAGATACTAAAAAGACCAACTTGTTGATGAAAAAAATGGTTCACAGGCAGAAAATCTTACAGTCTGTATCTTTTCCCAGCTCTCAGACCTTGCAAAGGTCAACAAATAGCACACAACTTCCAATATGGAAATAGTTGTCAGGTACCCTAAGGCTATTGGACCGAATCTGTAAAGTTTTTGTAGTGTCAACAGAGACTTGAGCATCTACTGTGGCACCCAAGCCCGACAGAGTGATGTACAGTGCAAACTACCTGCTGCTCAGTGCTAGCTGCCTCTACAGTCATCTTCTGGGAAGAAAGCCTGACAGCAGCTCTGTGCTCACCTTTGCTGGGCTGTCTAAACAGACTTGCCAGTATTTCATGTGGATGTTTTAAACATCATTTTGTTTTCTATAGAAATCCAAAAAATATTGCATTGTGGAACATTTCAAATTGGAAGAGCTTAGCAGCCTGCTACTGATAAGGTTCTAACAACAACAAAAAAAAAAAGCTGGGAAAAAAAAAAAAAAGAAAGAAAATGAAAAATGATGGCAATATAATGTTTTGACACTCTTCTTTTTTTTTTTTTTTAGTTGCTACCCTACCTTGTGCTGGATATTTTCAGTGATTTTCCAGGAGTGCCAGGGCTTTTTATGGCTAGTACCTACAGTGGGACATTAAGGTAAATTAATAATTTGGAATTTAGTGTCATTTTTTTTCATTTTGTTAAACCTAAAGTTGCATTTATACTGAGAGGCGCTTTAACTGCATTTAATTTCCTTAATCTTTAGGATAAGTGCTAGGAACTGATGTTGCAATTACAAATCTTTAGTTTTCAGCACCTATGCTCTGATGTCTTAACACTCAAAACTGTTTAGAGTTCCCTGCTGACAATGGGAAGAAACGTCTTGTGATCTACGGCACTAACAAACCCTGCCTCTCTGTGCTTTACAGCCTCTCTGCTAGAGGAATTTTTGAATATTATGAGCAGGTGTTTGCACAACATGGCTATAGTAATGCTTACGGCACGGCCACATGTAATGTACACTTCATTTCACTGACTTATCCAACCCCACCTTCTCAGTAAGAATTGCCTTGTCTTCACTAAGAGCAGTTATTAGAAATGATTTTTGTAAACTATTAACTGTATCACCGACAGCAAGAAGTCATTTCAATCAACACAGCAGCTGCCTTTGTTCTCTGACACTATTCTAGACAGTAACAGTTTCTCTCTGCCATTAACTCACCTGTTATCTATGATTTCAGTGTCTAAGATTAAGAAAAAAAAAGTATGTATCTTGTGTTCTGCAGTACAGTGTCCTCCAGCATAAATGCTTTGGCTGCTGTGACTGTTGAAGACCTCATCAGGCCATACTTCAAATCCCTTTCTGAAAAGAAGTTGTCATGGATTTCCATGGGGATGAGTATGGAAATTTCTCTTCCACTTTTGTTTATGAAGTGAGGGCTTGATTCAGATTTTAAGTCAGGGATAAGCGTGTTCAGACTGATATTTGGGGGAGCCAAGATCAGCTGTGCAAATTCTGTACGGGATGAGAGACAAGCTATTTCTAGTGAGCTTAAGAGAAAGTATTTGATCTTTAAGAAATAAAGATAGACTGCCTTTATATTCAGTGTTGCCTGTAGTTGTACAGAACCAAATGTCTTGAATTAAAATAGGTGATATTTTAATTTCTCTGTCAAAAATTAGAAGCATAAGAAATGATTTTGTAATAAACCTTGTGAACAGAGCGATATGTGAACTACAGCACTCCAGAGAGTGACAACTTCACATCTTCCCTGACATACCTGTGGACCCCGTGGCCTGTTGAGCTCCTATATTCAATGACCATCATCGAAGAAGAGGGTCAGAACTGGGCTGAGCAGATTTTTCTCTGACGTGCACTTTCCCTCTCTGCTGGTTGTACGACTTGGTACCAGCTGCAGGTGCAGCCCAAGGCAGCGTGCTTAATAGGCATGAAAAACCTCAATCCCAGCACAGTGTAGCCCATAACACTGAGCACAGTGGACTAATGGCAGGTGACAAATATGAAATGTTTTCACCTGACAGCAATTTCTGAAATGTTACTGTAAGCAGTGTTTATGCTGGAATTGTTGATGCTGTTATTGTCCTGAGTTGCCTGAGCTATCACATTCAGTGGTGGGATTAACCTATTGCTTGTCACTCAGAAAGTGAAACTTAATAGAAGTGAAGGTAGAGAGCACAGATGAGTCAGTGTTGTGGGTTCTGGCAGGAGACACTACATCCTGGTAGTCCAGGATGTCCTCTGTCACTCTGCCAGCTCCCATGATCTGACATCATTTACTTTCTTGCTCCAAAGGCTTTAGACTGAGATGCGAAATTACTTATTCAAAATAGTGACTACAACACAGGAGATTGCCTGAGAAATGCAAACAATACACTTAGTATTGCTTCTGTGTTTAATCCATACATGTGCCATCTAGGATCAGGTACTTAACTAATCATACACAGGAAGAGGATTTTGTCACTTTCACAGGGTCTCCTCTTAATGTAAACAGTAACCAGGCCCTTTGGCCTTGTTGGGCTCTCTTAGGAGAGAAAACCCAAACAAACAACAAAATCAAAGCCAAACAGATGGCAGTGGGTTTATTGTGATGTCAGGGCTTCCTGGGTGAGAAGGGACCATTTCCATCGCTGGACATTTCAGCTGATGTGCTCACGATTTTCCTTTCCACACAGGCGTATTTTATGGCGGAGTCTGCATTGCTATGGCTGCAGTGGCATCTCTCCTGGATGCCTTGCTCCAGGTGAGTGTCAGGCTGCATTTTCATGTGTGTCAAATAGCTTAGAACAAATTGTGTAAGGAAATAATTGCTGGCAACTATTATGAGATTAGCTTTTATTCTTTGTAGGGTACTGGCCTCAAACAGCCTCAACCGCTGCTCTAAGCACCCATGTCACTATATGAATTAACAACAGCTGAGAAAATACTAATTAAAATCTATTAATTTCCTTCTCATCTTCCTGCCCTGTTTGCGTATTTAACTTTTCTAACGCAGTGCTTGATAGACTCTCCTCCTTCCACAGGCAGCACTCAGCATTTTTGGCATGATCAGTGGCCCCCTTTTAGGACTGTTTTCCTTGGGAATTCTCTGCTCCTTTGCAAATGGAATTGTAAGTAGAAATTTAAAGCCCTGTTGGACCAAAATCCATCAGTAATTTTAGGTACATCCATCTCCCTCCATTCCCAATAAATTTGCATTGGGCAGCAAGGATATTTCTTTGATACTTTCCATGTTGATCTTTACCCTTTTCTTTCCCATGAGGGCAGCTGGGAGAATGGCCTTTTGGGTAGGATGGATAACCCAATGCACCAGATGGCCTTGAGGGCAGGCAGTCTTGAAAACACATCCAGAAGTCCAAGATGATAAACAAATGTGTTTAAAAGGCAGACTGTATTGGGGTGCTCTACTAGAGTGGTTTGGTTATTGCAAAATCAGCACTGCGGGATGAAAAAGTTACTCCATCAAAAATGTATTGATGGCGGAGAATGGATGGAGGAAGATGGCTGGAGGAAGATTGTTATGTAGTAAGATTTGCTAATCACTATCCTCTACAGTTTAACAGTTGAAAATCTAAAATATGAGCTGAAAAAAGAAATCACTGTCAGCAAGAAAACCCATCCTGAAGTAGAAGAGACTTTAAAAAAAAATAATAAAAATTAAAACAAAATTGTATTGATTCAAGGATGGTCTCAGATAAAATAGCTTTTTTTTTGCTATAAACCAAGAAGCCCAAAGCTATTCTTTCACTGTGAATTCATAGTGGCAAAATAAAAAGAGGTAAGCTCAGGAGCCATAAGCAAACAATGAGTTCTCCAAAAGAGAAATGAAGTAAGCTCCCAGTTCTTCCCAGCTGTACATTTTATTTTTCCTGTCGTGCCTGCAGTTTATTAACTTAAGTGTTTCTTACTCATCTAATTTTTGTGGTTGTTTTCAAAATACTTTGCTTTCCTTGCAAGCCTGAGTATCATTTTTTCTTTTGCAGGGCGCATTTGTGGGTCTTATCACTGGCTTTGTAATTTCACTTTGGGTTGGAATTGGTTCTCAGATTTATCCTCCCCTCCCAGAGAGGACTTTGCCTCTCCCCCTCTCAACTGCAGGCTGTAATATATCCATCTCAAGCAATTTGACTACATCAACAGAAAACCCATTCACAACAATCTTCAGCACACAGGCTGCAAAAAGGTATGAAAGTTCCTCATGTGCAGTCACTACAGCATTTGGTTTGTATTTGGTTTGAAGCAACATGAACATCTGCCTAGCATTTGTTTTGCTTCAGAAGAGAGCACTGGTATAATGGAAAAAATATAAGGGGTTTTCTCCCCTCTGCAATCTCCGTATCTGTCTTTGGGCAGCCACCATTAAACATAGCAGTTATAATACAGAAGACAGCTGGAACAGGAGCTGAACACATTTGTAGGTATTCCCAGCTGTTACATTTAAAAGTGCCATTCAGTCAGTGACAGACAGCCCAGTGCACACACGGATGCCCAGCATCCACTACATGTCTCATACAAGACCTTCAGCATTGCTCATGGCTGTAGAAAAGCAACAGAGAACATTCTGAAGAATACCAAAGCAAAATGTAACCCAAGATGGGAGAGCTGCCCTGTTATTTCTAGCTGTTTTTGACTGCATGTGGCTGATATTGTATAATGTATTTTTTCTTTAAATAACTCAGCCCCTTCTAAATATGTTGTCCCTTTATCTGGGTAGCTAGAGTGCTCAGCTCTGCACTAGATTCCTAGCTGCAACAAGACTGTCCTGTTTTACCTGCTTGTTTCCATGTACTTGACCAGTCTCCTCCTCTATGAAGGCATATTTTCTGGTATTTTTATGACAGATTTGCAATGCACATTTTATCATATCAAAGTAATTCAAGAATACCAGCTCACTTGGTTCAGAAAGTAGCTCTGTATTTATATTCTGTATGGATACAGACAACATTTTCAGGTTCCTCGGAAGAGGACAGCAGAAGTTAACTCTTTTCCTGCTCTTTTTCAGGCCTGCCCTGGCAGATAACTGGTATTCCTTGTCCTATCTCTACTTCAGCACCCTTGGGACACTTACCACAATAGTTGTGGGAATAATTATCAGCCTCCTAACAGGTACTGGTTCCACAGCTGAGCATGAACATAAGTCTTAAATTTTTTCAAACCATGATGACCAAAAAGAGAACTGCCATTTCCAAAGTAAGAGCCAGAATCCCTATCACAAATGTTGAGGATTAGGAAAATGTCCTTCATCAGAGGGTGTTTGGGACCTGGAATGGTTTTCCTAGAGTAGTGGTCACAGCCCCAAGCTGCCAGCGTTCAAGAAGCATTTGGACAATGCTCTCAGATGTAAGATTTGAATTTTGGGTGGTCCTGCATGGAGATGGAAGTTAGACCTGATGGTTCTTACAGATCCTTTCCAACTTGGGATATTCTGTTCTGTTGCATGAAGGTTCCTATCCTAACTCTCATTTCCCCCCCTCAGCCCTTCCACATCCTGTGCTTGACCTCTAATTACAGCAAAGATCACTTCAAATCTCTAAGGAGAGCGAAGTTTCAGCAGTTTTTTAACATAAGGGGCAAAAATCCCATCTACCTTTCCTGTTTCGTGAGATCTCAGCAGGTGCTGAGGTTGAAGGGTTGTCCCCGAACGTGAAAGGAACTCAAGGCAAGGAGATGCATCCGTTCTTCTAGAGGACAAAAGCAGTTTTACTTTGAGTGAGTTCAGAGCACTCAAAGGCTTTTGTTTGCACCTGTGCAGTGCATGCATTTCACTACATTTCCCTGGCATGTGTCAAAGAGCTGCAGGTCCCATGCATGGCTTTCTTTCTCAGTTGCTCAGTACTACTTCTGAAAGGTGCAAAAGCAACAAGTGAGAGCAGGGACATCAGTTCCAGCCTGTGAGCTCTCTGCTCTTCCATCTAGATGAGTGCATACTGCACTTGTCAACTGCACTGTGCATGGCAGAAACAGCACCAAAGCAGCTGCTCTCATGGCTTTCTCCAGTATACCTGGCCAGAATCTTGCTACAGCACTCATCAGACTTTCACACTGTTAGATTTCAAACCTATTATCCTGACCTACCTCAGAGTTGAGTTCCCTTCATTTTTTATTGGAACACCAAACTTCCAACCCAGCAGATTGATTGGTCCACTACTTTCTTTGTGTCCTGCAATGTACAAGCACAAGATACGTCTACTGTTTTCTTTTCTTAAACTTCTAGAGGATTTGCTCTAGAAGTTTTCAAACAGAAACGTGGGGAGAATCTAGAAAACTATGAAAAAAGGCTGAGAAATTTCAGGTAGATCTCAAGGATAATTTTATATTCTGAGAGATGCAGGGGGACACATGGTTGCAAAGGAATGATTCCTAGGGAATGTGCACATCTAGCCTGTGACTGCTTGATGGCTTTTGCTGCATGACTGTCCTGGCTTGGTGCCCAGAGCTGGGCTGTGACATACCACGTACATGTGGAAACCTGGCTGATTGAAGCACGCCTGTTTTGCAGGAGGACTGAAGCAGAACACAGATAGTAAATTCCTGCTGACCAAAGAAGATTTCCTCTCCAACTTCTCCTGGTGTAAATCTGAACCAGTAAGTATAGTTATGCATCCTCTGATATAAAGCAATCTCTCTCCTCTTGGGAGCAAAGGCAATCTATTCTCACCAGGATGCATTGCATTTGATGCTTTAAGGCAGCAGCAGAGTACAAGGCGGCTGAGGCAAAAGCAGCTGGCATAGGCATTGAAGCTGTGTTTGGCCACAGCCTGACTTCATAACAACAGAGCAGAAGCTGAGACAAGGGACAGTTGTTCTCCAAGTCTCTGACAAAAAACTCCCTCACTATTCCCTTGGAAGCTAAACAAAGACACGTGTTGGATTCAGCAAAGCTTTCTTTGTAAACATGATTTCTAAATTCTGGGATTTTTTAAAATATTTTTTATTTTTCGCAACATCAGCTACTATTTGAGAGAAGGCATTTCATTTCTAGACAGTGTGTCTATTTCCTATCATCCTCCCTAAGATACAAGAGAAATTATTGGGTAGAATGGAAATAATGTCTCTTAGAAAGGAGAATGTAGGAGAAATTTGTTTTTTAAAATAAACAGAGCCAACCTCTCAGTTAGGGCCATCATTGCAATCATATTCATCATGTCTTTGAGATGATCCAACATGCAAAATATTTCTCCCTGATGACAATAGCTCCTCTTAGCATGACCTCCTGTATTTTAGCTCCTGCTTACGAACAACAGAGGGTTTTTTACAGAACTGAATGCTCTTCACCTATGGATACCGACTATCCAGGTGTTGTCATTCAGTTCTTAATGCACAAACCTCTACTTTCACTATCTGGGAATTTAATCTCTAAAGCCTTTTGAAAAGAAAATCTCACCAAACAGATGGAAGTTAACATCCACAGCCATACTGGTTTCTGCCTAGAGTCAGAATCGAGTGTCAGCCTGGTTATACTGCTGAGTAAGAAGTAGTTGGCATCACAGCTTGTGCAGAAAGTGAATTGCTCAGAATAACTGGGGGGCAGCTGAACAACTTCCTGCACATGAAGAGCTTAACATCTCATTACATTTAGCGAAGATGAAGCATTGATGCAATGGAGCATGTTAATTTGCTTATCCTATCAAAGATGGGGCAAGGACTGAGGGGTTGGGAGCCAACAGATCAGAGGGCTGGTGGTGACAGATCTCTACATGTGAAAACAGCAATTAAAACTTTGCACAACCAGAAATGCTCTAAACACTTTGCAGGACAAGAACATTTTATGTGACGAGAACATTTTGCACAACTTGCACCTTACACAATAACAAACTTTCCATGCCCCTAGAAAAATAACAGCTATTTCAGTGAGTAACGATGTTCTGTCAGCAGCAGGCATATTTTCCTGTAAGGCTTTCTGTAAGTCAGGACTGGGTCTACTTGCCTGCAGGCCAAAGAGAGGAAGACTGTTTCTTCCACTTCACAACATTGCTTTTATCTCTTTTTTTTTAGGAGGAGAAAGTGGTTGTGTTGAACTGGAAAACAATGGTAGCCGAAGGAATGGACAACCCTGCTTTCAGCCACATTGAAATGGATGAAGCAAGTGATAAGAACAAAGCCAATGGCCTTCATATATGACATGGAGCCATGTCAGCCCTTGAGGACAGTTTTGTTCATGTAAAGCACTGTTGACACTCCTGTGCTGGGTCAGTTAGCAGCCCTGCTAGGATCACTGGCAGGAGTCTGCCGAGCTTCATGGTGCTGTCACCCGTGCACAACTTCGACATTAATCAAGAAAGGAATCAGGTCTTTCTTGCTTTTGTTGTTTCTCTCACACTCTGGATCTTGGTGACTGGGCTTAAGGCAATGTATCTGTGTGGAATATTTGCCTGATATTCTTGGGCCTCCTGGAAAATACCTGCTTTTACTTCCAGTTCACTCTCGGAGTAAATGTTTTATTTGGTAAGAGTGCTCTCCCCCGGAAATGACTGTTCTCTGTGGGCTTTTTTTCTTTTCTTTTTTTTCTTCTTTTTTCTTTTATTCTTTTTTCTTTTTCCTTTTTTCTTTTTTTCCTTTTAAGTCATTGAAAGAGTGAAGAAATAAGTACTCTGGGATCTTACCAGCTGGCAGGAAACAATGGATCTTTTAGTGGAGGAGATGTACTTTGTGCCCTCTGATTGCTTTGTAGAACTGCTCTTGAGAGCATATTTATTTTGCTGGTTCTGTCATATGTTTGCTTTCATTAACCTCATTCTTTGGTGAGCACTCCTCTCATGTGCCCACTGTTGGATGCTACAAAACTGTCCTTGGAGACAGGTAAAAACAAGCATCAGTAATACCCTTTCCTTTTCTCCCTACCTCACTCTTTAGCCCCATCTTGCTCCAACAGAGCTGGCCCTTGTGATGAAGTGAACAATCTGGGCTCTTCTTTCTGTGCCATGTAGCAGAACCACATGCTGGCCCATGACTGCTCTTGCACTGAGCTGGGTGTTGTCATAGTTTTATGTTTTTTTTTTTGTTTTCAGTATTCTGCACCAAAACATCATGTAGTGCACTGGGAATTAAAGTGGTAATGCTCCAATTCTGGGTACCTGTCCCTGTACATCGTGGAAGTCATGGGATCTGGCTCTTCTTGGTGGGGCGCTCTCTTACTGCCTGGCAGTGGGTGCTGGAGGGTGCTTTCCTAGCCGTACTAAGCTTTTCCAGTTTGACTCGGTCTCAGGAACCCTCATATCTTACTTGATTTATTAGTCTCAATTTCAATTAAATTGTATTATATTGTGTTATCTTGCATTCCGATATCATAGTAAAATAAGTTTTCCTCCATAGATCGTTGCTGCTGTTTTTTTTCTCCCTTCCTTCCTTCCCATTTTGTGGGGCCAGAGTGGGGGTGCAGGGAGGGCAGGGGCCTACCGCCCTCCCCTGTCATGGGCATAGATTGATCTAGTTAACTCAGTGACAGGTGTAGGTATTAACAAAGGTATTAATGTAGGAAGAAAACCCTCTGCTGTACTGTAATAGAGAAAAAGCTGCACCTGCAGTTGGCTGTTATCTGTGGAGCTGTGAGCTGAAACTTACTGTAACCACTTGTGTTCTTGCAGTTCCTGTTGTCACTCCAAAGTTTCACTTCCAAGGTTGGCCCAGATCAGGCTAGAGCACGTTTTGTGTTTTGCTTAGAGGGCAGAGTCTGCTGTTCTGTCTCTGGGAGGGGAAGGGATTGCAAGGGCTGGATGAAGTCTCTTCATGGCTGCAGGGCATGGGATGGCTCATCCTCTGGCTGCGCTGCTGAGAGGAGATGAACAGCATATCTGTCCTTACATTACTTCTGGTTTGAGAGGATAAAAACCCCACAGCTCCCTTATCCTAATTGCTTGGGGAACAGGCTGTTTGACCCACTGTTAGTACTACTGTTAGTACACTGTTAGTACAAAAACTGTCAGTTTTGTACTATATATTTTTTACGACATCAATTGATGGGGGCTTAAAACTCTGCCACAGCATCAAGTTGGTAAATAAAAATCATTGCAGGAAAGCCAGGCAATGAAGCTTAAAAAGCAGTCACGCTTGAGACACAAATCAAACACTGACTGTGTGTCTTAAACTCTTTCAAAAAGTTACACTGAGTTGTGCTGGGTGCTCAGCTGCTGTTATATGGGATTTGATTGTACTAGTTTACCTGTGCTGATTTGGGCCCTTAAGCACTTAACCCAAGCTGTTCTGTGCCCCCTGACAGCAGGCATTTGATGATCTACTGCATAAGATGGGATCGGTAAACTTTAGGAGGCAAAAATGGGAGCAGACCTTTCCTAGCAGAGTATAGACCAGATATACTCTATATGGGTTGCCACTAGGAGCACATCTCCATTGGCCAACCAGTGCAAATGATGAAGTCAGGCTTCCCCTTTGCTACCTGAGGTATAGGCTGGCAAGATCCAGAGCAGACCCCTTGTCTCCCACTCGTGTGCTGAGGTACTTTTGGTCCATGGATTTGAACAACGACAAGTACCGATATCTTCACTCAGCTGCAGAGAGCCAAAACACTAAGAAGACTGGTGTCATTTTGTGTGCCTCTGCTCAGTGGTTTGTAGTAAGCCAAGGGCAGAGCAGAAGCCTGCAGCAAGGCCTGTGTGCCTTCTGGTAGGACTATAGCACTCGCAGCCCACATGTTGCACTCCCATCTGACCATGATCCTTACGGAGGTGACTGATCAGCACAGCCCTTTGTTGCACCATGCTGGGTTGAGACCCTTGTTTTGAATTGATGCTGCCTTGGATGACCTGTGACTTCTACCTGTTATGTTCATGGAGTGAAGACTAATCTTTCCAGCAATCACAGTTAAGAAATAACATAGGGTCATGGAGTTTATTCTCGGCGCTTTGAATTCACATGGGAAAACACATAAGCCTTTGCTTGAAGTCACTCTTTGAGCACTGATCAGTCATTTTACTCTAATTTCGGTATGAAGTGAAAGCTTGGGCCAGATGGTATCTGTTGGCCCACAGTCACACTGAGGCGAGTTTTTATACCGGGGAAAATACCATGTTGTAAGAGGTTTAGAGGTAGCATTCTTTCTGCAGATGACCCTGGCAACTGTCCTTTTTCTCATTATCTAAACTCCCATGATTGCTGCAGAACTAAAAAGTGACTCTTCTGCTTTACTTTTTTTTTTTTTTCTATACGCTTGCTGTTTTAATTGACATCACTAATTGAAACAATTAATTTTGAATAATGTTTTCTCTGAGACTATATACTGTCCTTGTCTAGCTGCCTGTGTAAAAACAAGATAATTCTCAGTGTCTCCCTCACAGTCCTGCACCACGATCCTTCATCTCTCTCAGCTAAAAACTCACCCAACAAAGAAATGAAGTATAGCCAGTGCCAGTTAATTCCTTGGGAATGGGAGCACTCCATACTGCCCAAGTTACATGCAGCATCTGGGAGGGCTGAGAGGAGAATCAAGTGGAAACATTAAAAAATGAACTGAGAAGGCAACAGGAGCAATATTTGATGACGTAGATTCACAGACAGAAGGTGGTAGTGGATCCTGGCCCCTTTTGGTCTGCGTTTACACTTACTTCCACTCAGCTGGTCTGTTTTCTTTCTGAACAAATAAGATAAATAGAAAATAATGTGTGGATTTCAAACAGCAAACATTTCATATGCGTCGTTTATTTTAAAGTTTATTGCGTCACATTATACAAGCATTAAACATGGCTTTATGTTGATGATTTTTTTACGTAAGTGTGAAAACTTGACATTCTTCTCCATAAGATTTTTTTCTATTTACAAATAAACAATCTCTATGTATACTTTATATATATATTATATATATGATAAATAACATAATTTCCCTCAGAAAGATTTAAAATAAAGAACAGATTTGTAAACAGGGTTTCAGTTGTAGTATTTGGTGGCTTGAACGCAGATGGTGCTCTATACCTAGGCTTTTACTTTTGTCAAAATATCCAGGGTGCTCGTTTACATTTATTATTCTAAGGTTCGTAAAACCAATGTGGGACAGAATGCAAAAATCGTAGCAAACAGGCTGAAAAACAGTCCCAATATACATTTTTTTCCTTGGTTTTAAAAACTGGCGTGTAACTGCTCATGAAGTACATGCTTGCTGTCAAAAGTGGTCTATAGAGATCACTCCTATGCTGATTGCAAGATGATTTCACAGCAAATCCTTTGATGTGTGTTGTCCTGCTTGCTATGGCAAATGTCTGTGGCATGCACTGAGGTTGCATTTTTTCTCGTTCCTTTGAAGGTAGTGCTCTTGTGGAGCTGGAATAAGTAAACAACATACAGGGCGGTCACCTGGAGTTTTAAACAAAACCCATCCATCATCAGATCAGAAAGAATGGAATGGCATAAATTTTCTATCTACAGACTGTTTTAAATTCTATGTATTATTGTTAGCCTATTGTATGTGATATATTTTCCTAAATAATGGAGCAAATAAAAAGGGGGTTGTCTTTCCTGAGTGTTCTGCTATAAAGCTTTAAAGGACTAAAGGGAAATCTATTCTGCAGAACAGCAGGACTGAAATGTCAGTGCATTGACTGGTCAACATTAAGTGACAGAAATGTACTCAGGATCTGCCAGGGAGGTCAGAGTCCCTTTCGGCATCACGCCCAGCACAAGCCTGGTAAACAGCAGCTCATGTGCTCAGTTTGGACAGAACAGGACATAACTTCTAGCTATGAAGTGTCATGAAAATTCATTGCAGTGTACCTACATTGAAAACTTGTACCAAATGCAATTATTTTGTATTGTGTTTTTGCTGCACTTTATTAGTTTTGACACACTATATTGTAGCGATTGCTCCAGGGTGGAAGTCAGCTTAAATTCTACTCAATTTCAATTCAGTTCTGGGAACTGCAGGATTTTTGAAAGATTCACAACCCATATGGGTGAGACTGATATTACGTATGACTCACCACTTATTTTACTACCTAGCAAACAATTTCTAAATTAGTCATTTGTGAGTTTTTGTTAGAGATGTAACACAGAGGATATGCAGCCTAATCCAGTTGCTCATGTGAATTTGGTCTGAGTGAGATTTTGCACAGTGATCCTGCCTGAGAGTACACAGATTGCTAGTGTAATATACATCCCTAAGTGGTGAATGGTAAATACTAACCCATTTGACATGTGTGTATAAAAGAATGAATGATGTTGCCTATCTATTTCCTTCTGTTTACTGAGACAGAACATTCCCATTTCTTCACTGCCCATATAGGCTGTGTCCACAGCAGCTGTAAGGTGAAGCAAAGATGAACAAACAAGTTTCTTGCTTATTAGGCAGGAATATATCCCAGAACCATTAGTTGTGTTCCTTATTCCTTTTGGCAGCAAGTCAATAGAGAACAGATTCACCCTGAAACTCCTTCAGTGGCCTCATAGGAATTGCCTCATAGGAACTCCTGGCTTGGGTCACGAGCACCTGATAGTGGAAGCCATTTATCCTCTGTGCAGGAAGATGGATTAGTACTAGAGGAGTTCCTTATTCAAAGGAAGCAAAATGTAGGCTGGCAGTGGCTACCGAGATGAGGATGCAAACATTTTCTTCCACCAAACCATACTGCTTTTTATCAAAACTTTCTTCCTCATAGAAATAGCACAGTTCTACCTTGCAGTGGAACAAAGTTAACAGATCTAATTTGGCAATATGAGGTCTTGGTAAAGGTGGTCCTGATGTTTACTGGACTTTGAGGCATCCATACAAAGGATCTTGCACTGTGTGATTTGTCCAATGCCGCTTCTATTGAATGGTTTCTAGAAGAACTTGTAGAAACAGCGTGCTGAATTTTCCTCACTGTCAAATGCCTTTAAACTAACAAGGGCATTATTCATTAATAGCTCTGAGAAAAGCATACTGTTTTTGAAGCTCCAATTACTTGGAAAAGTGCTAATTGAATTGATGAGCTTCAGTATTTTGCATGTAGCTGTATCTTTACGAAGACATATGGTTCCTTGCAGTCTACTTACAGTCTGGGCTTTTGAACTTCCTTCTTCATGTTGTGGCTGTTTATGCTCCTGCACGTTTGGCAAGAATTGCAGTATTATCACTTTGAGGCAAGAGGCAGTGGAGCTTTCACAACACTCAGTATTTTGATTTGTGTTGCTCTGTCCAGCAATTCTGCAGTCATTAGAGTTACAGCTCTACTATTTTGGACTAATGACCTGCAAACTTTTTAATTTCTTAGTGCTAAGCAATTTGCAAAAGGATATAGTCAGTGGCCCATTTTGGCCAAATCTAATTCTACAGCCTATGTAGAACTGCTGTGCACAACAGATTTCAAGCTATTTCATACTACAGCCTAGT